ATCCCATACCAAAGAAAACAACACAGATGGGTGCGTGGTTCTAATTTGTTACGTTCATGAGGAGGAAGATGAACAAAGCTGACACAACCAAAATGATGAAGATGAGAGTAATCAGATACCTGGCGGAAAAGCCTTTCAAAAGGTGTGGTATCCTGAAGGACAGAAGAGGGTAAGCGGTTAATATTATGAACAACAGTAAGAGCAACCTCACCCCAAAACCAATCTGGACAACTGGCAGATGACCAAGTCTAAGGTGCAAGTGATAGGAAGAGAAAGGAGAGACTGCAGTGGAAAGAGATGGTGTCTGGCGAGGGCAAAGGTGGTCAAGCTCAAATAGGTGGCCTGTCTTGCGACCCGTCCCAAGTATCTGACCCGTCTGCGTGTCTTGAACCTGCACACCAAAAAAATAAAAAATTACAGTAAGATCTTGCTCAACCAACTGACCGACAGACGCAAGGTTTAAGGCTAATTTTGGAATGACATAAACATCATCGAGGTGGGGGGACGATATATGACCAGTATGAGTAATGCGCATGGATGTGCCATCAGCGGTAAGTATATGAGGGGATGAGGTGACAGGTTGGGAGGAATGTAAAATGCGAGGGTCAGGTATCATGTGGTTATAACAGGCAGAATCAATATACCATGTGTTGTTACCTGATGTCGAGGCTAATGAATGATGAATTGATAAAACCTGAGTGAGCATGTGATGTAGGTCCTCAAGAGTGGGATGCGGTTGAGGCGACTGTGATACGCTAGTGGCAGCACTAATGGTAGAGGAAGAGCCGAAAGAGGATTGATCAGCCTTGAGATTCTTGGGACAATGCAAACGGATGTGGCCTTTCTGATGGCAGTAGTGACACTCAACCTTAGGGCAAAACATTCGGGCAACTGCGACAGTTATCAGACTGAGGTGGTCGGGCATCCTTTCGATTATCTCTGCAATGAGGAGTAGAAGATGGAACTGCCAAGGCCGAATCAAGGATAGGAGCCGTAAGCATCTTGAGGCGGGTGCTCTCAAACGAAATATCCTTCATCATTGTATCTAAGGAAGGCAAGGGATGACGATTAAGTAAGGAAGCACGCACATGCTCATATTATGGACCAAGCTTCATCAAGAGCTGAATCAACCGAAAGTGCTCAATCTGTATGTCTACCTCATCAATGCGATCCCACATAGACTGTATAGTAGAGATGAACTCAATCATATCTTGGCGCGAGTCATGTGTCAGTGCATTCAATAACCCTATAAGATGATGATAATGCATGTCTCTAGTGGCCTATAACGATGCTACAAATAATCTCAAGTTTTCTTGGCAGTGTCCATTTTGCGAAGTTGAATCTGAATGGAAGAGGTATTCTGAATCCAAGTAAGAATAATGTGGTTCTTACTATCCCACTTATCCAAGGCATTCTGATAGTCTATGAGATCCTTATTGTTGAGGGGCGCCGTAGAAGTGATAACATGAGCAACCGGTGCAGAAAAGTCGCCAGTAACATAGTGTCATAATCTTTTACCAATCAAGAAACTGTTCATAGATTCAGCCCACAAATCATAATATCACTAGAAAGAAGAACAGTAATCCCGGGAGCGTTTACACGATCCATTTTAAGAGCCATACTATGAAGCGAGAAAATCAAGAATAGTATAGCGCACAAAAGAATCGTGCAGAAAATCAGACTGGGCAGGCCAACCCAGTAACAGTCGCAAAATAAATTCAAGTCAGATGGCAAAACCGACCATACCAGGATATCGGGGATCGAAGCAGAAGACGGTGACCGGAAACCGCCGGATGCGGCGGGAAGGCAGCGGTCGCCGGAGAGATACGACGTAGATTTGCGTCGGAGGCGCGTGCAGCTGTCACGCGCCGACGTTGGCGGCGAAAACAATGAGGATTAATAGCTATGTCTATTCCATAAAAAAAAAATATATAGACTCTGATACCATGTTTGAATATTTACGAAAAATAAAAAATTTATATTAACCAAAAAAGAGAATTTCAATTTGCATATATATATATATAAAAGCATATATATGTGGGCTGCAAATGACCATATATATATATATAAAAATAAAAATAAAAAAAAAAAAAACTATGCTAACATAGCAAAATAAATTTTAAATTAAAACACTAACGATGTATTTCTTTTGACAAGTTTTTGGGTTTGGCATTGCTAAATTACTATTTGATTGGTTTGGGCGCAAGAACGATGGGTTGGGTGAGGACAGTCTCTGCAGGCTACAAATTACTATTTGGTTTGTTTGGGCAAAAGAACGATGGGTGGGGACAGTCCCTGCAGGCTACGGGTAAGGAGCTAGCACTTAGCTTTTTTTAAAAAAAAATAAAAATAAAAAATTAAATGAATATATTTGCGTGGTAATGCAAAACCGGCAGTGAGTTAATTATTTAATTATATAACAATAATTTTTAATAAAATATATGTCATTGTGTAAAACTAATTTTTTATACAATATTAATAAATAAAAAAATATAAATATTTATTTATAATTATCAAAAATGCTTTTAATAATTAGTTAGCTGATTCAATTAGCTGGTTGTATTAAAATATTTGGTAAAATAACTATTTGATATTAGTTGTTTATACATAAAATGATAATTAATGATATTGATATGTTATTTTTTAAAATGTTTAATTTTTGTTCATTTTATTTTAAAAATTATGAGAATTTTTGTTGTTAATTATTAAAAGCATAAAAATATTATACTCCCTCCGTCCCACATACTTTAATCTCATTTTAAATTTTTTAATTTATTTTTTTATTTTTAATTAAACTAATTAGTTATCTTAATTTTAAATTATAATTATTTATATTATAGGATAATAATTTTCGCTAATACATTCTTAATAGACACTATATATGGGACGGAGGGAGTAAATTTTTGTTTTTATATTTTAGATTTGAAAAAAATATTTTTATTAAAAAACAATAATAATTTTTTATTAAAATGGTGTAAAATATAAAAGAATAAATCTTTCATATATATATACATATTTTTATTATGATAATTATTATTTATTAAATTTTAATGTAAAATTTATATATTAAAAAATATATAAATAAATTAATAATATTTGTCTTTTCTATTTGATTTAAGTTTAGTAGATTTATATATTTTACAAATATAATAATTTATATGTAATAATTAATAATAGTAATTATTTTAAATTTACAAACATAATTTATAATTTAATATATTAAATATATTAAAAATAATTAATAAATACTGTAATAAAAATATATTTATATGTATGAAATAAATAATTAATTTTTAACAATAAATAAGAAATAAATTAAATTAAAGTGAAAAAATTATTCCATCGAAAAATTCTTTCCAAAACATCCGAGAAACTTAATATTCAAATTGCATTATAACTAATTTTATAAATTTAATTGACAAAACTGCCTATATCCCATGTGGTTTAGAAACTCGGCACATTTCCCTCATTACTTTAGAAATTGTATAGCACTCCTGTGTCGAGTATATGTGTGACTGTTTCCTTTATATACCCAAACTCCCCATTTTATCCTTCCACTCCAAATTCTTCCAATTTATGTTAATGATCCAAATTTCCTTGTTTAGCATCTCCCAGCCTCCGAATTCCTTGTTCGACATTGCTCAGCCTCCGATTTAGTATTTCCAGGTACGTATTTGAAACCAAATCTTATTGTGTAATATCGAAGAAGATACCAATGAAATTATATAATCGACTAATTTCCTATCTGAATGTGCATCATTTGTGTTTGTGCATCCTATGTGTTTATGGAGACACTAATGAAAATGTACGAAAGAAACAACAAATTATCTAATTGAACACCAATTCTTCTTATATGGTAAATTGGGGAACTTCTCAACCCGATATAGCCCTAATCCAAAACCAAGGAACAGACTTTCGAAATCGGAGAACTTCTCAACCCGAAATCGTCGCCAATGCAGACCGAGATGAAAACTGGAATCGTGACTTACAAGTTCAGCGATTGAAGAAATAAAGTTGGTTGTCCATTCTTAAATCGATGCCGCGCATTCGCAATGGTGGTCTCCGGGGAAGTCGTGGTCGGGCATTCGTCGTGGTGGTCGCTGCCTTCCGTTGCTGCGAACGGTGTCGGGAGGGGGTGGGGCGGTCGCAGGGGATTTTTGTCGGTGGGAGAAGAAAAAGTGAGTGATGAGGGAGAATGATTATGTCACAATTATTTAATTAAGGAGTATAGTGTGTAAAATTTCTGAAAACACAGGGAAGTGCTACGCAGTTTCTAAAGTACATGAAAGAAATGTGCCGAATTTTTAAACCACATAGGATATAGGCAGTTTTGCCAATTTAATTTAATATATATGTCATTATACATTTTACCTATAAAATCAATATATATTAAAACCCTTGGATCTAAACAAAATATATAATTATAAAGAAACACAAACTAACTTCTCAAAATATTTTCAGGGAAACACTTCTTAACAAACAAACCATTTATATTTTATTATACTCTCGTTTATAAAATAAGAAAAAATGACAAAATTGTTCATAACTCCCTTGTGGTTTTTAAACTCAGCGTAAGTCTCCCATCTACTTTAAAAATTGCATTACGCCGCCTTATACTTTAAAAAATGTTGCAGCATAAATCTTCATTTTACTTTAAAAAATTGCATGACGCTCCCTTATACTTTCAAAAATATTGCATGAAAGCCCATGCCATGCAAAATATTTAAATAGGAAATCATCTATTTATCACATGAAGAAAGTTTCATGGTGGTGGGGTTTCATGCAATACCCTTAAAGTATAAAGAGTATCGTACAATCCCTAAAGTATAGGGAGATTTTAGGCTGAATTTCGAAGCCACGGTAAATTATAAGCAATTTTATCTAAAAAAAAATATATATAGTTTATAAAAATAAGTCCGATTTTCTGGATGAATTTTGTAGCGGGTTAAAACGGAGCGGGTGGGTCGGGTTATAAGGCCGAGGCGGTTTCTAGGCTGCAAAACCCGTTCCAAAACCAGACAGACAGCCGTTGCCATCCCTAAATGGTAATTGAAGCTCAGTTTGAAAATCAGCAACTCATTCTCATCTCTTCGTCGTCGGACTCTCAGAAAGCTGATTCGCCAGTCATCCGGGATACCTGATTCGATTGGAAAATATGGAGAACTTGCAATCTGCTCTGAACGCTCACATGGATCAGATGGCAGATCTGGTGGAGACGCTCTCCGCGGAATTCCGCTCCGGACTCAAACCCGCTTATGAAAATTTCATGGGTTTCTTCCACGCCATTGACTGGAAGGTTTGTTTATGTATAAGAAGATTATACGCATGGTAAAACTTGAGTTTGTACTCGGTAACTTCTGCTTTTGGGGAATCAGATCTATCAAGTGAGAAACCAATTTCGAACTATGCTAGGATAGTTTTATGTTTGCACCTGATCTTGACACTAATTGCTACTAGACTTCCTTTCTGTTAGTGAATGTTCTCAGACTTGATTGCTACTCTTTCCTCTTCCTTTTTTTAGGCCCTTGTTTGTTTTGTTGTACTAGTTCAGTGTTCCAAAATTCTTAAATCTTGTATTTTTGGTAAGCCCCTTCCTTTTACTGAATTCACGTAGCAATTCTCTATTCTCAATTTGATTGTTGGAATTATTGCGTCTGTCTTTCAGCAGTGATCCTTTTCTCATTGTTGCCTATGATCAACACTCCATTCTCGTGTGGTTCAGTCCTGATTTTGTGAACTTCTCTACGTTTTTATACTCTCAACATCATTTAGAAAGCTTTACTTGAAGGAGGAAAGTGGATCATTCTTGAAGTTTGAAACCTCATGGGATCAAAGCTCTCATTTCACCTACTGTCTTTCCAGGTAATCCGCATACACATGCGGCATAGGGTCATAGGGTGCGCACATCACACTCCAATTCTAACTATAGCCTATTCAGCTTAAAAAAGCAGTTAGTAGCACTAACAGGCATGTTCTTCTCTCGTTGCAATTTGTAGATTATTGGATCACTAAACTTTCCAAACCTCTGCTCTAAAATCTTCTGAAGCTCATGTGCACATTGTACAATATACAAGCATCAACTAATTATAACATGATATTTGAGACTCACAACATCACCCTGTCATCAACCTTAGTCCCTTGTCTGTAACCGGGAGATACAGTTTTGGGCTTAGCTTTCCTATCGTTATAAACCCAAGCTTTGTTTTGGCTCCTAGTGCAATCAGCCAGCTCTACTCCCTCGATATTTAGTTAGAATCCCCCAGTAGTATAGTCACGAAAGTCGTTTCCGGATGATCTGAGCTGTACAACTATAGAGCCTTATCCTTCGTTATTTTAGCATAATCCATTCCTACAGCTGCTCTCATTCCATGCAGAGAAACATGGATAAAAGAATGTATACAATTACTAAGATCACAAAGGTCCATTGGAGAGAAAAAGCTTTCCTTTCTTACTATATCCTGTACTGTAAAATGGTTGTCTATCCTACCTATCCACATTTACAGAAGTAGGCCCCAAACTATCTGACTACCTATGTACACTTAGTGCTAATCAAACTATGTTGTAGCCAGTCGTGCAGTCTCTTGAGTCATGAAGTACAACACTGTATTCTAACCTACTGAGCTTCCACCGAATGTATTGGTACATTCAAACCTCTCCTGCTTTGACCTTGGGATATTTGAAGCTCATCTGTTGGTCGTGCAATAACTCCATGTAACCTGTTTGAACTTAACTTCAAGGTTCGCTCAGCGTACTTGTAATATATATTTGAAAGTGCAACAGTGTTTAAAGGATCACCCCTTGAATCCACCTGTGACATTTCAAATCTGCAGCAGTGGTTAAAGGATTTGCGAAGATATGATCAAGACTATCTTGACTATCATTGTTGAAGGCTCTCAAAGGTTGTATTACAGCTCTGTAGTTGACTTTGAATAGTTGATATAGGTAATATATGGTAGCACATTCCAGTAGGGTTGAATACCCTTTGACATAGAACAGGGTGAATGATGATGGGTGGTACTTGGTAGTCTGCTGAATGGTGAAGAATTTGTGATATATTTGAAGCAGTCTTTTGACAGTGTTATTGAAAACCTGGCCGGTTTGCAGCATAGTTGTCAATAGCGCGCTATAGCGGCGCAATAGCGGTGTAGCGTAGCTGTAAGACACTCTGCTGCTACGGTTGCTCCGCAATTCCGCGTTTACGCAATAGCGGTGTAGCAATCTGTAGCAGCACTCCACTATGTTATGCTATACTAAAATTAAAATCTAACCTTAACTTATAAAATATACTTTTTTATTATAATATAGGCAAAAAAACATTTATCTCAAATCTTAACTAAATTTTTAAATTCATTTCGAAAAAATAAACAAATTAGAAAGCCAAAAATTGTAAAATTTGATTTATATCTAGTATAACCAAAATTTGTTAGATCATTATGGTAGCAATGATGTGATTGGTCCTATTGTTTTGAATAATTCCAATGAGTGATTAATTAAAGAAGTTGATAATTGCGAAGGATAAGTTAGCTTTTGACAATGATAATTTGACTAGGGAGTTGTTGTTGATGCTAATAGGTCTGCTATCTACACTAAGATACAAACATCAATACATCAATAAGAAATAAAACTATAGGTACTTCTAGCTCTAAAAAGAGAAATGATATTATACAAGTGACCAACATACAATTGAATAAATTGATGAGAATGAATAAGATGAAAAAAAATATATAGACAAAAGTAATTAAACAGTGAAGATGATGAAAAAGAGGAACAAAAATTTTTATTAGATTTTGAATCTGATTAGCTTTGATATATCTCTATTACACAATAGTGATCAAATTTTTTTTGCTTATATAACTATCTAATAGTTATGATCATATATATATATATATATTGACATTTTATTGGTTTGAGTGATAATTATTAAATTAATTTATAGGTTTTTCTTATGTATTTTTGTTATAATTTTGTATATATAATAACTTTTTATATATATATTCTTAAATATTTAAATAGCGGTCATATAGCTATCCGCTATCCCGCTATAGCATTTTAAATATTGACCGCCACGTACCGCTATCCGTGATTAACAACTATGGTTTGCAGCAGCCACAAACTCAAACGATTTCCTAAAATGCTCTCTAATTTATATAACCACCATAATAATCTATTCTAAGCTTACTTCTTTTGTGCTTTTTGGTATCTTGTGATCATTCAATATTCTGATGGAAGAATGGCAGTTGGTATTTTCATGACTTACAGCTCTCAAGACTTTTTGAATCTTCAAAATTTTCAACTAGATTAATAAATGATTTTTCCTCAGTATTTTGGAATAAGAACTTACTATTACTCACTTCTTTATTTATATTATTGTATTTACCTTGAAGCATATTGTTGATTACAACTACTTTACTGATGCACTTTGGTTCAGAATAAATTAAATCTTTAATTACTGAAGCACTTTTTGAGTTTGTTTACTTTGTATTTTAGTTTGACTTATAGAGAATTCTGTCGATAGTATATTTTTGTGAGAGAACAGAGTGAACAAACCCAAAAGTATCTCTTCTTTGAAATGTTTTCCGGCTTATTGTTCCATTGTTCACTTACAGTGCCTTTTAACATCCTATCTCTTTGTCATCTTTAATATATGCTGAACAATATTTAGATGGTGTCATCTTTTGTTTGGGAATATCTTTATGAAAATATACATGATTAGTTCTCTCCACCTAGAGGCGGATTTATATTTTATTACTAGTGGCATAATATGATAATGTATAAATTAAAAATAAAATATTGTATGGAAGTATTAATGTTAATATTAATAAAAAATAAATAATATTAATAATATAGAAAAAATAATAATATTATTTTTGTATATTTGTTTTAATTAAATGGGTAATTATGACATTTCAAATTTTAAATGGGCATTAGTTTATCTTTTTTTAGATTAATTGAATAATGGCATTCTTGGACATGTTCAAGATGTATTCCAATTACAACTTCCCGCTTTTTGTTGCTAATTCTTGAGTTCACTTCCTTGTCTGCAGGAACCTTGGTTGATTTGCCTTGTATCCTTCCACATATTGTTGCTGCTTATAGTTATCCTTTCGAGGAAGAACGTCAACTTCCAGATGTGCTTTTTCTTTATTGCACGTATGCTTCCTTCATCGTACCTTTTCGTTTTCGTTACATAACAATGACCATGTCTAAAATCCTGCTGTTAGTTAACATGACTTATTGAACCAATCAAACAATCATAATCAGCATGCACCCACTGCGGGACCACAATAAACAAATGAAGTAATGAAAATAATGAGGTGTATTTACTTGAGTTTTTGTCAGTAGCAGCATGTATGTGTTGCAGTTTATTGATGCATTGACATCTTGCAGTTATAGGAGTGTATCTTGCTGAGAGGCTGAATCATTTATTATCCAGCAACTGGAAAAGCTTTGCTGGCCAAAACTATTTTGACCCCAACGGACTGTTTCTATCGGTCCTCTGGTCGGGGCCACTGTTGCTTATTGCAAGCATTATCTTGGTTAGCAATTGAGTACCTTATCCAGCATTCATTCTTGTTAGCGATGTGCAATAAATAAGACAATGCTGAGTGACCCTCTTCTGTTTGCAGGTGAACAACTTGTTTTCAATGTGCTATCTGATTGTGAGATGGAAAAGGGCAGAGCTCAGACATCGCGCAAGACTAGCTACTAAGAAAACCGATTGAGTGATGGATTTACGGAAGCGAATTTTGGTTTTGTCGGGGTGTGACTTGAAGAGGAACAATTAATTTGTGGATTTTAACACATACATAGCATGTTTTAGCATTGAATTGGAAAGGGCTATTGTAGACTTGTATTTTTGTTTTCCATTGAAGATGTGATATATACAGCTATGCGAACCAAGCTAATTGAAAGCCTGCTTGGCTAGTTAAAGGCTGAGTTCGGCTTGTTAACTAACTATTAACAAGCATTGCTAGCGCTCGAGAAAATACTCAAATTTTCGAGTTGAATCAGGTTTAGTTGATTCTACTCCCGTACGGGCACTGAACTTGTGGGAGTAGACCAATGTGGCACTGCCACCCTTCACACCCCTACTCCATTAATATCTTGCCTGCATGCATACATACATACATACGCACTTGTGAAATATTTATTTGTTAATGACTGTCTCCATGCCTTACATCTCTCCCTGTGCGCGCGAGAAACCAAGCAACGCCAAAAGGCCTTTCTACTTTATAGAATCGGCTTTCAAGTTCGAAGAAATTGACAATTTTGATCAGGTTTGTTGACAGGGTTGCAGTTTATATGAATGGATTGAAAATTTGTGGTCGTGTATGTTTTTTTTTTGTTAGTAATATGCTTGCTTTCCTATCTGTTTATGCGTTTATCGTTGCATAAGGGTAGGCAATGATGTATGCAATTTGAAGTTGAACAATATGGAAGTGATTACTTGTGCGGTCGTGTGTGTAGCAATGATCGGTTGGATTCGGAGATGTAATAATCATTATTTATGTGCGCATTTCGAATTGTAGGGTTGGAGGTGGAGGCCGAATTAAGGTGGAGGTTGTTCGTTTCCATGGAATCAATTGTTACACAATCAACCTGGTAAGTACAACTAACTGGCAATTTTGCAATGAGCAAGCACATAGCCTGCTATGAAAATTTTGAAAGTTTTATATTACATATCATACGTACCTCATATTCTCTGCTTACCAAGTATGTTGTTTTCTTTTGTGACATTTCAATGATCGAATTGTTTGTCCAATGCTCTGATCATTCATATTCTCTGCTTACCAAGTATGTTGTTTTCTGTTGTGACATTACAATGATCGAATTGTTTGTCCAATGCTCTGATCATTTTACCCCTGCGCATAATACCACATCGTTAAGAATGTCAAAACATCACTAAGAGATTGAAGTTTTCTCAAGTACGAACTCTGAACGAAGAATAGTGCCCTGTTTGGGAGCCAAAGAAAGAAAATCAAATGAAAAACCGCTGTATGTTGTAATTCTATGCATAGAAGATGGTTCAGTTTTTTCTTAGTCATTAAGCAGTGCATGTGTATGTATGACTAATTTGCTAAGTAACTCTAGTGATAATTAGCAAAATTAGTTGGAAGAAGTATCAAAGTCATGCAGATTTTGGTAGTTGGTTTGACCTGGGAATCATTTCGAACTAGACAACTTGAACTGAAATTTTACTCTATAGATGTAATAAACTTAGAGAAATTGATTTGTGTTTCAATGAGTTCTGCTATAAAAAAAATGGCTTTGTAAGTGAAGAGGATGAAACTACACATACCTGCATTTGAGAGGGTTACTTATACATTGCAGATGCTGTGATACTTCGATTAGCAAACTGCAAAATGAAGAAACTGTCACATGTGGGAGAGCAAGATTAACAAGAAGTGATAGATTTAGATAGGAAGCAGTAGTTTTTATGGACCTATATTATCCAGGATTGGCCAAGTAAATAACCACATCAATTATTAGTGTGAACTACATCAGACAGCAAGATGTCGGCAAGAAAATCAGGCTCTTCCATGAGCCAGACAAGTTCTTCCCCGACATTTCTTGCATGTTGGGCCACTTTATGTGCTGCCTCATTTCCGGATGCTTGTACATGTGAAAATAAACAACTGTCTAATTGTGTCATACAGTCTTTGACTTCCTGTTTGATTATGGTAGAAGCCGGAGATTTATCTTTGTAATTATCCTGAAGTCCCCTGATTGTGTTGGGGACATCCCCCTCCAACATTATGTGTTTGAAGCAATAATCTACTGCAAACTCGACCGCGCACTTCGCGGCCATCCATGAGGCAGTATCTATATCCACAAGGTCAGGGTAAAACCTTGCAAGTGCAGCCATGAAATCTCCTTTCCAATTCCTAACAACTACTCCAATGGCAACCCCTAGCCCTACCCCTGAATCATCAATATGATTAGGATTTGTTCCGACGAAATTCACCTTGTAAACATCAGCAGGTGGTAGAATCCACCTTTCTGGGTAAACTGTTCCAAATGGGGCAGTACTATATATACTTAGAGAATATGGTATAGGAAACCAGCTTCATTAGGATTCGTCTTAGAAATTATACCACCAATAAGAGTGTCTTGTGTTGGGCACCTGGATTCTTTTGATTGCGCCGTGCACACACCTGTGGTGTTAGCTTCCTGAAAACAATTCAAGATAGTTAAACTAAATTGCAACGTAACATCACTTTGCTCTAATCCCATATTATTTGTGTATATCTCATTCTGCAATTGTTGATCTAGAAGTTTTGCATGACGAGTTCATTGAACTTGGGTAATTAGTTTTCGTTGTAGCATGCACATATTTAAGCATGTTAAGTTAGAAACATTTTTCACTAGTTAGTTAACCTTTCTTTCGAAGAGCATGAGCTTCTTCATTCATGAGGACCCAAATACAGCGTTGGCATCACGTCAATATTGACTAAAATTATATGTCATGTAGATCTAGCAATAAAAGGGATGATAGTCGGAACCTTTTTGGTTGTCACATATCTGAATATTCTTTCAAGCTTCATTTCTAGCTGATCCAGTTCTTCTATGGTAAGCTGTTGAAGAACTTGAGTCTTTAGTTCCCTGCATCGAACACATTAACTCATTTCATCTCATCGATAACAAGATCTCCAATGTTTAAGTAAGCCTGTGAGAAAGCTAGTGCAATTTTTGAGCTGTGACCGGAGGAAATTTATCTTGTTCCGAGCCCCATTATTCGAACTGGTACTGGTAGGATTCTTGTTTTTTTCCTGCACGAAGGATAGCCATTATCAAATGGTAAGAGGGTGGGTTGGGTATGAGAATAGGTAGCCTGTCTTAATTAATTACCTGGGAGCTGGTCCTGGTTGGCTGCCCCTCCTCAGATTCCAAGTGCAAAGCAAACTTGTTGAGTATGTCATTGATGCTTCATTCAGACAAATAAAATTGCACTTTTTTTAGGATGTCCCAACACAATAATAGGAGTGACAAAAGTGGAAGTAATGGGGTTGCACTCCAATAATATCATCATCATCATCATCATCTTGTGTCTTGTTCGATAAAAGCCCTGCTTGCATCAAGTTGTTATTATATTCACTGACTCATGCTTTTGAGAAACATCAAAGAAGTGAGTGAGAGAGAGAGAGAGAGAGAGAAAATGCACCGAAAATGACCCACAGAGAAACAGAGACGTAGACATAGATGAGTATAGAGAATAGAGAGAATCAGAAAAAGTGTTTTCTTGGTCATGTCATGGATGTAAAAGGCCAAAACAGGTTTTGCATGCGCTTCCCATCTAGCTACCAGTACCCACCCTCCCATGTTAGCTTAGCTTAATAGTTATCCCCACATATATATATATATATATATATCCACAAGAAAAAGAAAAATAGTTGTATCAGTAAGATCAGTAGGAGTGTTGTTGACCTCTAGTGAATCCGTAATAATGGTGAATAGGAAAGGGAATATGATTATGCATATATGAGTGACTATGAGAGGGGAGTGGGGACCAAGATGATGAACCATATATTTCTTCATGCATGGTTCGGATATAATATATAGCATAGCATGCATGGTTAATATATACTTCTTGCTAATATAGGTTGAGTGAGTGGTGAATAAGTTAGAGGGACATAGAGTAGAGTAGAAAGTAGTTACTTTGAAGTGGAGGAGTATTGGTGGTAGCGCCCGGTGGGTGAGAATACCATGACGGCAACCTGTGCCTCGCATAGAACTGACAGCTCATGCGCTTTCTTCACTAGCCCTTGCCTTCTCTTTGAGAATGTCACTTGCCTCGCCGATATGTCCTCAATCTTCTTCTTCTTCTTCTCCATTCAATTCTAATGATCAACTCAACTCAACTCAACATGGTCAGCAACAACTACTATATATATATATGCACGTGTTGAATTAATTAATATATATTAATTTAATAAGCTAAGTAGTGTGATCATTCAAGGAATCTATTTATGTACTCATTCATTTATTTATTATATATATTGCTCCTTCCCTACCTACCACTACCACTACCACTACTACCCAAGTAAGTAGTTAGTAGAACGAACGAGATCTAGTTCGTATGTTGCTACTTAGGATGCACGTAGCCCTCATGAACATCACATATATTTTTATCTAATTAATTCAAGCACTCCCTTTTATTATCTGCATACATATCTACATTTAACATAGAGAGCATATTATTTATGATAACATAATACAAAATGCAACACTATATTAACACAGACCGAATCCTCTGTCCCATTAGCACACTCTATTCCCCTATCCACACACACAAGTGTGTATGTATAATACATACACACGAGTGTGTATATATCTACATTATGTGTGCAGGGATAGATAGATAGGATTTATTTTTGGAGCAAGGATCCCATGGGATATTAACAATATGTAAATTAACTATAATTTACTACGACTATCTTTAAGTATGAACAAACAATATATGTATTTTATTTTATTTTTTTATGACGTGAAAACTCACAGCCGCTACCGAAAGTGCGCACGGGCTAAACCCCGACCGAACCTAATACCCTGTAAATCAAGTCCGACAGACAAGTCACACTAGGCGAACAATATATATTTTTATTTAAGGCTATATGTGTATATATTTAGGCCATATGTATATTCTAATGCAGTAATTTTTTCCCTTATGTATATATATGTGTATTCTAAAAGTAGTTATGTGTATATAAATATATATAGGTATAAGATTTGCAACGACTCCTGTTTCTTTCATCTCTTGCCAGTTTTGGCAAGGACCATCATATTACACACACGCACACACATATGGATTTGCTTGCCTGCAGAAGCGAGGCAAGAAACGAGATGAATATGTTTTCTTGGTGGCCTTAAACAAAGCCCTTGTTTCCTGTGGTTTTTACTCAAATCAGAGAGAGAGAGAATCAAGGACGAACTAGGATTGATTTGAAGTGGAACCCGATATGAATAATCAAAACACGTAGGTAAACTAGATGATCGAATTTCACGCGAAACAAGTTTGTATATATGTATGTATTGGTTGGTTTTAAACTAGATCAGATCTGTAGAGGTAGAGGTAGAGGTAGAGGTAGGCAGGAAAGAGCAGTAAGTAAGTAAGTAACTCATCCTTACCAAGAGAGCGAGCGAGCAGCCGGGGAAGGGGGAGGTTGAAATCCGCAAACCCTGAAGAAGAAGAGAATGTGCGGAAGAAAGGGCAGAGAGATTAAGCAAGCTAAGGGTAAGAGAGGTGGAGCTGGCTGCCTTGCTGGCATTCTAAGATTCAGCCATTTGTCTCAGATTTGGCTTCTCCAAGTAAGCAACCACCCCTCCCTTACACTTTTGACTTTTCATCAACCTACTCAACTAATAGTTATAACTAAATTAATAAACCGAGCGAAAGCCGTCCCTAGTCCCTAGCTACCAACCAACAATATTCATTCACTTAGAACATCCTCTCCATCAGCTTGTGCCCCATGCATGCATAGGAATTAGTTAATGCTCTCCTTCCTCTTCCATCGGCATCATCTCTACACTACTACTGTTGCCAAGTAGTAGTACCCTGTTGGCTTCATCCTCCCAGTGGGTTTGCCGCAAGATGACATAGAGAATTGAAAGCGCGCAGGCAGCTTGAGCCGACAGCAACCCCAACCACAGCCCCGCAAAGCCCAACCTGAGCCAGAAGGCCAACCCAAGCGCCACTGGAGTCCCCACAAGGTAGAACGAAACCAGGTTGATCCGGGCACCCACTGCCGGCCTCCCTGTCCCCCTCAGGACCCCACACCCCGTCGTCTGCGGGCAGTTCCCCACCTCACAAAGTCCGATGATGGGCAACACCGACGCCACCAGACCTCTCAGCTCCTGGTCTCCCTCCACAAACACTCCCCCCCATTTTCCGCGAAACACCACTGTCCATATCACGTTCATCAATCCTACACCAAATGCGCACCCCACCGCCACCATTGCCGCTACCTTTGCCTTCCCCGGCTTCCCTGCCCCGAGCTCATTCCCTACCTGCACCACCGCCATTAATATTCATGGTTAAAACTTCAGCTTGCATTAATTGTAACTAACTTGTTACTTACTCGTGCAGAGACACAACCGGCCAAGGCCATTGGAACAGTGTACATAAGGCTAGTGGTCTGGATTATTATCCCAGTGGCCGCCACCGCAAGCTTGGGATTAGGCAAATAGCCAGCCAGCACCGTGACAATCTCGTACCACCACCACTCGAGGCATATCCCGGCACAGCTTGGCACGGCCAGCTTAAGTAGCGGGCCTAGCCCCGACACCACAGCCCCCACCCCTGCTTTGCTCTTACACTTCCACTCCCACCTCCCATAGACACAAACATAGCCCATGAGCAGCAACATCATGTGCAGATTAGTGAGCACAGATGACACAGCCACGCCCCGCACTCCCAACCCCATGACGACGACGACAAGATAGTTAAGTGGGATGTGGAAGACGACGGCGACGAAGGTGCACCACATCTGGGGCTTGGTCACCCCCTGAGACCTCAAATAAACCCTGAGAGGGTGGAGCAAAGTGTTGGTGAGTAAATCAGGAAGGGAGTAGATGCAGTAAGTGGCAGCCATTGAAGTGATGTCTTTGTCTTGGCCCATGAAAAGCATGATGGGTTGGAGGTTGATCCAAAGCAGGGAAATTGGGATGATGGCGATTAGTATTAGGAAGATCATACGGTGGAGGGACAGCAGTAGTAGGTCCCAGTTCTTGCTGCCGTAGGCTTGGCTGCACACAGGCTCTAGCCCAGAGGCCAGTCCCACTATAACTGAGTAGCCAGTAATGTTTGTGAACCCAATCGAGAGTGCTCCCCCGGCTAACTCAACCCTCCCAAGCCTCCCCAAGAACAGTACTGATACCACGCCTCGAACATACACTAGCCAGTTCATAGCTGTTATGGGGACTACCATTGACCATAGCTCCTTTAGCTCCTCCTACCAACAAACAAGGTATGTCAAACAACTGATTCATTGGTTACATACATGCACACTATATATAATAATATTCCACTATTATTGTTGTTAGTTTTAATTATTTAAATTAAAATTACCTGGTAGGAGGAAGGAATAAGTAGATTGTCTGCACTTTTTTCATCCATTTCCTTGCAAAGGCTGGGAAGAAACTGGATTATGTTTTGTTTTCTGCACACAACGTACGTAGTGAAAATTTGTGGTTTTTTTTCTTATTTTTTTGGCGAATATTTGGTGGGATTTATTATAAATTGGTTGCAGTACGCATTAATATACTAGGTGGTGGTGGTGGTGTGGTGGCAGGCTTGATACAGATACAAATACAGATAGATACATACATACATATGCATCGTTTATGTTATATAGAAGAATATAGTTACCAGTTTGCAGTATTAGTATATATTCTGTAGTGCTAATGGCTCTAGGACGGACATTTGAGGTTAGGTTAGGTGAGATCAAAACAGGGAAGGATATAGTTTTAGTAGGAAAGCGAGTGTAGAAAATGGGAGATATAATAAATAAGGAGAGAAACAGGGGAGGGGATAGATGTTGGAATGGGGAAAGGGACAGAGAGATTATGGCATTCTATGCAGCATCTGCAACTGCAACTGCAACTGATAGGCTAGACTGCAGTTACCATAAATACATACATACATAGAGAATCAAATCGAATCGAGAGTGAAGATGGTGAAAATTAGTATATGTAATCTTTTAGGAGTTGATGGCATTTGCCACTGATCTCCTGGCAGTTGCCATAAATATAAATGCACAGTGCAGTAGAGTACTGGAAATGATGAAACATTAATGGAATATCTTACAAGTTGGTGAAAACAAGGAGGGCTGATTGCCTCATATCATATTGCTACTCCTGCTATGCTATGGAAATATTCACCTTGCATTCTTCGTTTTTATAAATATATATATATATATATATATATCCAATAATTAATTATTTTACTCTTAAAAAAATAATAAATAAATCTTACACTCTTAAAATTTATGGTGCGTCTTTTTCTTGTTTTGATGATGATGATGATGATGATGATGGATGGTAGTGCTGTGCCATGACTCAAAGAAAATCAAACTCAATACGACGACGACTTACAACTTAGTTGGGCTAAGAATGGAACATATGCTAAATATAGAGGCCAAGCATCTTTACCCATAATAATATTATAGTAAATCATAATATAGTAATAATAATATTGCATTAATATAATAATCATAATATAATAATATTGCAATAATATAATAATCATAATATAGTAATAATATAATCATAATAATATACGCCATTACTCAATTCACTAGTAAATTTCTCATTTACTTTTGTACCCAAAATAAGTAAAATTAATACTTTATAAATATGTTAATAAAGTAATATAATTACCATTTTATCTTTGAAATATAATTTAAAAAGTAAAAATAAAAGTATATTGGTATTTAATTCAGAATTATCTTTTTTAAAAAAATAAATAAAAAGTTTTGATTTAGGCAAATTAAAATTACAAAAAAAAAAAAAAAAATTTACTAGTGACAGTGACGGAGAAAGTAGTATTTTAAAATAATAAAAATATTAGTATAATTGTATTATTATACTATTATTAGTCAGGATTATAGTGTTCTACATCTTGTACTAATAGACGATGCATAATATTATTAAAAGTAATATGCCAATATATTAATATAACACAAATACATAGGTAAGTATAAAAGAATTGATTAATAAAAATATGTATTATGTGATATTTGATCATTATGAGAGAGCAGCAAATAGCAAATGGAGAAGAATGGACCAAAAGCAACCGGACACGCTTTATCCCCTTTGCCTCGGCAAAACAACACAACAGCATGACAACACTCGGCAATGGCACACACTGTGAGGATGTGTGGAGTAGAATCACCCCCTTGAGGTTTAAAATGATTTTATTGAATGGATAATAATAATAATAATAATAATAATAATAATAAGCGGGGTGGGTTGTGATTTATGAAACATCGACAATGGACGCTGCGTTTATTTTGTAAGATAATTTGAAATAGAATTTTTTGATATGAAATATGAAGAATTGTGTATGAAATATAAAAATAATGAATATTTGTGATATACTCTCCCCGTCTCAAAACTATAGTCTGAGTTGTGTTTGGCACGAGATTTAAGAAATATTGATATTACATTGATAGTGAGTAGAAAGTACAGGTAAAAGACTTTTTTGCCCTTGCGAGTGTATTAATGTAAAAAGTAGTGGCAATTGCGTAATAATAATGAAAAAGTAAGGGTAGTTTTATAGTGATATGATCATTTATGGAAATGACACTATTGTTTTGGGACGGACAAAAATGATAAACATGACTATTGTATTGAAACGGATGGAGTATTAATATTTTTTAAAAAACGAATTTTTTTTTTTTTTTTTTTTGGTTAAAAGAACACATCCGAAGTGAATGCCAATGTTATGAATATCAAGTTGAACGATGACTTTTAAGAAGATATGAATTCAATCATTGATAAACATATATAACTCCCTAAATTAATAGATAATTTTATTTATTTATTATTTATAGTTTATTAACAAGCTCTACCAACAATCCTCTTTCTATAGATATTGCCATAATTAAATAAAAATTCTACATTTGCATGTAAGATTATTATTTCAATTGCATTATCAATTAGGATTTAATTCGAAACAACAGCACCTATGTGGAATCGTCCATAATAAATTAATTGTGTGTATATATATATATATATATATATTCCCCTCAAATGTATAAATAACCTTAATCAAATTTACATGCATGAAATTAGGGAAAAAAAATTCAATCCAACGGTAGATATGAGTCAATACAAATAATATTTGGCCAGAGATCGTTCAATAATCGGTTAATTTATTAATTGATGAAATTTAGTTTGTAGATTAAATTCAGAATTTTCGAAATTGATTATTCGATATGTTGAAATATATATAAACTATATAAGGGTTATTAAAAATAATGTAGTTTAGGTGGACTAAATAATATGTTGTGGAATTGATTGAAACAACAAAATATTCTTGTTGAACTCGAAACCAACCAAGCAAATGAATATTGTCCCGACAATACAATTGCATGCATCCATATTATAAATTTATAATAATGCATGGGGAATTAAATTATGACGTTTTATGAAAAATATATATACAAATGCATGGAATGCATATGCATTGTGATATGGTTTATTTACATTTCAAATTGAATATTTAATGCTTCGATCGTGGCTGCATGTTACAATTTTGAAATTCAAAATTTTGCATGCATAAAGTAAATACATTCGTGATGAATATTTACGTCGGTTTCGAATGGGAAAAAAATCAACATCCCAAAGGTATGGAAGCCTCTATAAACCTCATTCTTCTTTGCATTCTAAACACATCTCGAGCAATCATTTCTTCTCCTCTCCAGTTCAATCGTCTCTTTCCGATCTTCCGGCGAGTTCTTCGGTTATATTTTTCGGCAACTTTCTTAGTTCTAGTCTCTTGACACAGCGTGAGTTTACCTCATTTTAGTTCATCAGAGCTCCGAAATATTGTGATGCCACTTAATTAGTGTGAAGAAATTCAAGCCCCGAGTTTACGTCGATGTAGTTGTGGTTCGGGGACGAACGTCATCTTATCTTTGGAGATATTGCGTCACCAACTGAGGCACTACCAAGGCATATTCATTTTATAGAGAAATTTTCTACCTCGACTCGATGTAATTATCGAATTTATTTTGATAAATTATTTTTTATATCAAATTTATTTTGATAATTATGTAGTTGCAATATAATATTTTATTATATAACTAACAATCATAAAACAAATAGTTGTAGATATATTGCAAGAATGGTTGCAAACGATCATCACGGCGATATTATGGATATTTTTTTAAACCCGATCAAAACATCGGCCGGTGTTGACTTCTCAAAGTTGTCGATTGAAAACATTGTGAATAACATAGCGTCAATTGCCGCTGCAACTATTATTCTCAGTGCCGGCCCTACACCTGCATATACTGATCCGACTATCGGGTTTGCAGGATTTGCTCCTTGAAGATTTGGAGGGTTCTTTAGGTTCGTTGATGCACCCTATGCAGCTTTTGCAGCACAAAATGCAGCTCCGGAATATGCCCCACGAATGATGCTCCAAGTGTCGGTTCTCCAACCGTTCATAGAGTTAGACTTCAAACAATGGCAAGAAAATATGTTATTTTTAGAGTTGTTAACGGGTCGAGCCGAACAAAATTGTAAGTGTTTTTTAACGTTCGCGAACAAGGCTCATGTTCATTTGTAGTGTTCGAGCTCGGCTCATTAAGAATTTTTGTTGTTTGAGCTCGTGTTTGTGTTCGGCTCATTTAGGCTTGATTAAACTCATTCGAGTTCGTTTGTCTTATTTTTTAAAATTTATATATAAATTAAAAAGGAAATTTAAAATTATTTTATTTATATATTTTAAATTAATATTTTATTTATTTATAAATTATAATTTTATATGTATATATAATATTTAAAATAAATATATTATTTAAACGAACGTTCGCGAATAAAGCTCGGGCTCGTTCGTTAACCAAACGAGTTTGTTTATGTTGTTCGGCTCGGCTCGTTAACGTTTGCGAACGAGCTTTAACCGAGCCGAGTTCACGAACAGCTCGGTTCGTTTAACAACTCTAGTTGTTTTACTTAATATCTGTAGGATTTGCATTATTTATGCTATAGGACAGGCCAACCGAACCAAAACTCAATCCTAACTCTTAAGCACATGCTAACTACGGTTTATGGGCTTATGGTGATTATATGGCATATAACACTACACTCGGTAGTCTTTTGAGCACTCTTTCTAATTTTTCTTGTAAAATAAAGAGTGTCAAAGGACTATAGGAAGCTCTGAAGGAAAAATATACGTACGAAAATTTCGGGTCCAAAATATCTGTCATGGCTCAGTTCATGGAGTACAAAATAGTGGCTAGCCAATCCATCGTGAATAGATGGAAGAGTTTCATCATATAGTCAACTTTGTCATCAGTGAGGACATGAAACTACTAGAAAAATTCATCACGAGCATGATGACAAAAAAATTTCACCAGAGTTGGAGCAATTTCAAGTACGGACTGAAGCATGAGGTGAAGTAGGTAGGACTTATAGACCTAATTTTCCAGATCCCTATATAGAAGAATAACAAAAAACAACACAAAGCTAAAGGTGGAGAGCTCACCAAAACTAACTTGGTCAGAGAACCTTCTAAGAAACCTGCTCGCCCAACTCAGAAAAATAAGGGCAAAAAGTCCAAACCTTCCGGTAAGTGGTTTAATTATGGAAAAATAGATCACACGGCAAAGGACTATAGATTGTCTAAAAAGAAGAAGCCTAATCAGAGTTTCCACCTAGTCGAGACGTCCCGCAGGACTGATCGTGATCTCAATGCTAATGATTTTGTAGCTATTGTATACGAGACTTGACGAGGACATCCAATCTTCAATGATTCAAATGTCCGTGAGACCTATCACTTGAAGCCGAGCTCGGCAGTTTCAAGAATCCATCACTGCGTTGACCCGACAATTTTCATGGAGAATCAATTTAATGATGATACTTGGAGACCACTTAGCCCTCACCCAACACTCCTTCAATGGGACCCACAAGAATCAAAATTGAAAGATCAAGAAAATTGCTAATTATGGAAGATTATCAAGATAATTACATATTGTAGAAGATTATCAAGAGAATCATCAATTATGGAAGCTTC